CCCCTGCCCTGAGCAGAGCTCGCCCCAGCCCAGCTCCAGCACCAGCTCACCCATGGGTGTCACAGTGAAGCTCTGGGAACTCTGCAGCCCACACACAGCCTGTGGCCTCAGGGAGGTACCCAGGATCAGAGTCAGTCCCTCACAAACCGTGAGCGAGTTCCAGTTCTGATGCTCCTACAACGTACGTGGTTCAATTTTGTGCCAAGTTCGCTTACAGAAAAATACATTTCTTCCCTTAAATTTACAGTAGTTAAAACTCCACTTGGAATACCATATTACAAAGGGGGAGTTTATTCTCCAACAAAAAGTCTTGGTTCCCTTTTCATTGAACAGAAAAATGGAAGGACTTTAAAAGCAATCACCCCCAGCACAACACAACTGCCCAGACGAACCCATGTGTGCACAGCCCCCAGGCCTGAACTCCAACCGTTTGTTTTGGTGCTCAAAAAGGCACTTAAAGATAAGAAAACAATTGTATTAAAAACCCACAACAAAACAAAACAAAGGAAAACGAAAGGCAATAATTTAATAGAAAGACACTGGAATTTGTACCATATGGTCTAAAGTAAGAAGGGAGGAAATAAAACCCCTAATGAAGATGGGTTTGCTCTCAAGTCATCTCAGAAAGGATATAAAAAAACAGAAAACTGGCAAAGTGAACGTTCTCCAGGAACTAAATGGAAACAAAAGTAATAATTACTGGCAATGGATACACAGCACTGGTGCCAAATGGGTCCTTCCCACCCCAGCACAGGTCCCTGACCAGCCCAGCCTGGCTGAACATCTGCAGCAGCTGTGCCAGGCTGGGGGCTGTGCCAGGAACAGGGGATGATGGAGAAATAAACACCAACATGAACCAAACACCAAGGACGTTCACAGACAAGCACACACACCGTCTGCCCTGCCGAGGGACAGGGAGGGACACGGGCAGAGCTGCTCCCCACGGGCTCTGCCAGGGGTGCCGGCGGCTTCGCTTCCCTTCGCGATTACTATTATTATTACTGGGTTTATTTTTACATTGAGCTACCTACTAAGTGCAAAGATCTGTTGAGTGGCATTGTCTTTACCTAATTTTAGCCTATTTTTGTACAGTTTACAGGTTAACAGTTACTTCTGAGCAGTTAAGCAAGTACAGCAATATTTACAGGGCTGGCAGAGCGGGGCGAGGGGACGCGAGGGATGGGCACGGGACAGCACCAGCCGCTCCCAAAGGCTGCCACGACAGCTCTGGCTGGTGCCAGGGAGGCAGCTGGGGAGGGGCAGATATGGGGGGCAGCTGGGGAGGGGCAGATATGGGGGGCAGCTGTGGAAGGACAAGCACGGAGGTACAGAGGTACACAGGTACAGGCAGTCTGGCACACGGTGAGCTCCCCAGCCGAGGAGACACGAGGCACTGCAGGACTGACGGGTCCTGCCAGCCTGGTCAGTGCCCCCACTGCCTTCTGCAAGTCAGGCTGCTCCTCCTGCAGAGCTGGGGCCCACAGCAGCGCTGCAGAGATGAGGAAGATGAAGGGGGGGGGACAAGCAAAGCCCCAGGCAGGGTAGGTGGCTGCTGGGTGAGTCAGGAGGGCTTGCAGGCGTCTTCACCCAGGCACAGAGCAGCAGATCAGAGCTAGCAGGGAGGAAGGGTGAAGTTAGGAGACATTAGCACATGGCCATGGGGAAATGCCAAATCAAACCATGGGGCATTGCATGGAAATCTGTACAAGGAAAAGCTGCAGGAGAAGCACGGAGCATCTTGGATTCAGTGCTTACAGAGGAATCTGGAGTATCAGACAGGACCATGCAATCCTCAGCCTTCTGCATATTTTTTCTGTGGGTAAAACGAAATGTAGATTCCTTTGCATAAACTCAAACGGCTGTATTATATGGTACAGTACAGAAAGTGCAAAGTATCACCCATCAGATCAGTTCTGCATCTGATGAGGTCAAACACGGCTCATGCTTCTCATGCAGGACACCCACTCTGACCCGAGACCCCTCCTTGCTGCTCAGGCCTGACTCTCGAGAGACCACTGGGTTGGGGATTTAAAAAAAAAAAAAAAAAAAAAAAAAAACGTGGGGAAAGGGAGATGAAGAATCTCCAAACT